AGCCAAAGATGCCATCTAGTTTTCCTGGTGTGCACCCAAACATTATATGCGTGATAAGCATTTAAGCAATGAACCGCACCTTCTATCGGTTTACTGACGTAAAAACCCACGCGGGAGGACACGAGAAAAGGTTTTTCATTTTAAAAAAGCGAAGGATTTACAACTTGTGCGAGTGTTCTACAATTTTCTAAATCACAAGATGAATATGTACGTATTGTGTGAATGCTTTTATTTATTTATTTTTTATTTTTCCAGTAATCGGCAACAGATAGACAAAGTGGTTATAGCTTATTCGGTTCAATGGATGTTTAGTCAATCAGATTGCACATATCAGAGTAATTTTTGAAACGAGACATTTTTTATGCACTACCTTTGTTTCTTTCAGGTGTTGGCCGCTAGTATCATGGGCGTGACTTTAAGCGGCATGCAAAGACCTTCCTTAACTCTGGTACGAAATATAAGCTATATAAACAATTGTATTTACGCATTATGAGGGATCAATTCATTTTCCGCCAGGTGGAATGTACGTTAAATAATTCCCAGTAGATATACCAATACATAAACCTTGAGTCCATAAGAGAGGAAGTAGCAACTTTTTGTGATACCTTTTTTATTTTTCACTATTTGTTTATAATTTTTTTTTGGCCCTTTGCAGATGAACGCCTTGCAGTCTGTGAGCGTAGCCTGTGCTGCAATATCAGCGATAACCGTGTACCACTATCTGGTCGCTTTGTCCAGTTTGATGGCTTTGGGTTATGCCTCAGCGCTAAGCAAGGATTACTATAATAAAGATCCCTTTTTCTTTGATTCGGACCAGCTGGCAGACGTAAACTTTACCGCAAAGCAAAACTCCATGGTGGCTGTATCTTCCCTGATCATCATATGCTCCATCATTGAGATCATTCTTGCGGTGGCAGCCATCAGGAGCAGTAATATAACTGGTCAGAGCTCGCAGGAACAGCAAGTAAGAGAAGTTGATGATTGTCAGATTCTTAACTCTAAACAAACTCGATTTTTCTGCGTTATCAACTCGAATCAAATTGATGATCAGTCAATTAGTCAGTCAGTTATCTGTCCAGTCAGTCAATTTTCGTCAAAACTTTTCGTTTGGGCAATCAGACATTGACCTAATTAGTCATGTATTTAATCAACATGTTTGCCAGCACGCTATAAACAAACCAGTCGGAGACGTTTGTTTGCCAAATTGCCTCGACTACACGGTGTGTAAACGATATTTTACAATTATTGACCCAAGTGAAGGTGAATAGTGGAGAGATTTGCCCAGCCGCGAAGCGACAACGAATGATTATCTTAGTATATACCACACAGAAACAAAAAAAAATAGTTTATTTATGTCAATTTACTGAAAATGGGTCGATGATTAAATTGTCAACGCGCAAAAAGCACTATTCACGTGTGTGGTATACGCTAACACCTAATATTCCTCAATTGTAACTGATGGATTACATTAAGTGGATCACAAACGCGAAATCAAAACAGCCAATCAGCGCGCACGATTAGCACAACTCACCTGTGTGGTTTATACCAACACCGGATATTCCTCAATTTTAACGGATGCATAATGAATCACGAAACGCCTTTAGACTAATCGCGCAAGAGAAGAAAAGTAATGGACTAGAAGCAGGAACCATTACTTGGAGCCCTCATCTGCCCTGTATTTTTGTCACGGCGTTTTAACGGACAAGCCTATTTAAGTTTGAATTTATCGCGAATTAGGACTCCTCAAGAGAGCACATCTACCAATCAAGCGCCTGGTTAATTTCAAACTTTACTCGTTAATATATCGAAAGAAAAATGGCAGAGAGATGCAAGGATTCTTGCCATTGTCAAGAGTTAGGTTTATCTTCAGTAGAACTTTCCTCGGAACTGCTACTTCCCGAGGTATTTTCAAAATATTCACACCACAAGCGTCCCAAGCTCACGTCTCGAGAAAAAGCAAACGATTGATTCATGAAAGCGTCACGCGTTGTGTGACTCGGTGTTAACTTACGAGAGGAACCGTTGGGAATTTGATCACGTTACAAGGATAGCATGGGGAACGAAGTACGGTCAATTTACAACGATAAATATTTCGAAATATGAACATTTTACACGTAAAATCAATAGAATTTACTCACATCTTGTGTGTCTGTTGTGGTTTCGGGCATTCTCTGCCGTTTTATGCGTGCTTTGCCATCACTGTTATTCCTGTTACACAACAAAATCATTGAAGTGTACAGCCTTGACCTCGTCATATAAAAGGAATAACAGTGATGGCAAAGCAAGCGTAAAACGGCAAAGAACGCCGGAAACCACAACGGACACAAAAGATGTTAGAAAATTATACTGATTTTACGTGTCAAATATTCATATTTCGAAATATTTATTGAAGTAAATCGACCATATTTCGTTCCCCGTACTACTCCGTATAACATGTTCAAATTCTCAACGGTTCCTATCGTAAGTTAACACCGAGTTACAGAACGCGTGACGCTTTCATGAATTAATTTTTTGCTTTTTCTCGAGACGTGAGCTTGGGACGCTTGTGGTGAGAATATTTTGAAAATACCTCAGGAAGTGGCAGTTCCGAGGAAAGTTCTAGTGAAGATGAACCCGACTCTTGACTATTCAATGATCAAAGCGACAATAGGCACCGTGAATTTTGTCGCGTACAGCAATTATAGATCACACTTCACAAAAATAACCAAGATTTGACAAGATTGAAGCCCAATTCGAAAGATTAGCATTATCTTGCGATCTAAATAAAACGCTATTCATTTTGTTGCACCAGCTTCTGTTCAATCCAGCGTCGCAAAATGTTCTTTACGCACGGTGTGGATGAAGATTCTGGAGATGAAGACGACTCGCACATAGCTTGCTCAAGCAATTTCTTGTTTCCGCGCTCTCCATCATCGCTGGCATTGCGCCGCTTCATCGTCTCGAATTTGAACTCTTTTCATGAAATTTTCTTTAGCGGGGCCAGAATCAGAAGACAGATAATCTTTGATACACACGAAAATAAATTAATAAAAAAATTAAAATAAAAATACAACGATGATCCGCACTCCTGCCAATATTTTTCGCAAGTGTGATAAAATTCGAAAAGGATAGTGGGATATGTAAGGAAAAGAATGATTGGAATACTGGAATACTGGAATACAGCAAAAGATAAGCGGAATTTGCGTAGTTTTGATATGAAGACGTCCCCGCATAGGACCGCCTTTTTTTTTCTTCGCGTTTCATGGATCGTGTTACCTAAGTGAGCTCGAGTAGCCTATTTCCCGCGAAAGATAGTCTAAAAATAAACCGTTCCGTGAAAATGCTGTGACATAGGGTCAGTATGGGAGTTGGAGGCTTTGAGTAATGGGCTCCTGCTACAATTTATTAAATAAACCAGGGTAATGAAACACATCATATCTCAATTCATTTTCAGGTAAGCATTTGCTATGGCCAGCTTGAAGCTGGTCAGGTGCCGATCCAAATGCAAGGGCAGCCCACCTCAGTTGAAGCCCAACCAGTGGTGGCTTTTCCAGAATCTGGCGTTTGCCCAGGGTACACTAATAATTAGTAGCTACAGTCGAACCTTTATTAAGCCGTCACCATGTATTAAGATGTCAGTTGCAATTGTTGAAGTCCCGAATGTTTTATTCCTTAATCACTGTAAACTGCACCTATATTAAGCGGTCACGTCTATTTGGCGGTCGTAGTCACCGTTTACTAAGTCCCAACGGCCTGTTTTTTATTGTCTTTAACTTGTATTGAACGGTCACTTTAAATGGGACCACTCAAATAAAACTAAGAATGCTATTTTAAGTTCTTTTTAATCTATGTTTCACTACAACAATAAAAGTAATATTTGTGAGCGAGATTCCGCATATGAAGTGGTCAATTATGGCATAAAGTAGCGTTTTTATAATAATACCTCTAAACGGTGGAACCTGAATCAATCTTTCAAACTGTATTAAGCGGTCGCTCCGCCACTCCCCGTGGGTGACCGCTTAATGCAGGTTCTACTGTATTGTGAATACCTTTATTAGCCCTAGAGGGTACCGTTCACCTCACAGTAGCCGACAGAAACTAATATTTTTGGTTTATGTATACGGCATATACTACTAAAACGATTATTCACCTCAGTATCAGTGAGAATGGTGGATATTTACCTCGCAGCTTCGCAGCTCGGTAAATGTCCACCACTATTCACCTGTACTTTCGGTAAATAATTTTTGATTTAGTTCACGGGAGTGGGTTTTGCGAAATAAATAGGGAAAGCAGATAGGGGAATGGTAAGGCGTTCGAGGGCCCGTTATTAACCGGATGATTGACAATTTCATCATGCATGTTTGATTTGCTCTTGAATTTTGCAGATTTACATCTCTGCGCTTCTGCTAAGGCGATTTAATTTAGCCTTGCATTATCCCTCCGGATTTGATTTCACTAAGCTTATACATTGTATGGATAATTTTTTTGCACCTGCATTATGCTGATTTTCTCCGCACTTTCATTATGCCTATTTCAAGTGCACTTGCCTTGTGTTGTTTTGATTTACAACTGCACTTGAATTATACCGATTAGATCTGCGCTTTGATTGAAATTATTGTAGATCCAATAATGCTTTCGCTACTTTCAATTGTGTTCTGTTTCACTCTATAGTTTCCCCGAGATATGGAGTACAAAACAAGGCAGATATACATTCAGTGAGTCTGGCAGTTTCTCTTGATCAACTCCAGATCTCAGTTTGACGTCAATGAGCTAAATGCAGTCACCTGCATGGAAATGTGAACACCAAAACTCTAACTTTTGCGTCTCGTTTGTATTTAACGAGTCATGGAATTTCTCTTGATGAACTCCAGGTTTTAGACAATGAGTTGGATGTGGTCATGAACACAGTTACTCGAACTCCCTTATTTACTATGCCTCTTCTACACGACTATAATGAGTGGTCCAACTTAAATTTGTCTTACAAAATATCCAAAAAAAAAAACCGGTTATTCTGGTTTTCGCATTACGTGTTGTCACGAAAGTGAGACAGGGCTCTCAACACTAGTTCATTCTCTCATCCAATCCCTCAGTTGAAACTAGTTGAAACCAGTTGAAACCAGTTTGTGATCGCATGACTTAATTCGATGCCTAATTTGAATACAAGTGTTGCCTGAGCGTCTGGGTCGAACGGCACGTGTTTTAAGCACTGCGACTGAACTGACTCCAAATGGCTCTCAACAGACGCGACTTGAAGGTGATCTCGATCACCCAGCTCATCCTTTGTTTGGTGTTTCTCATTTTGGGCCTTGTGGATGGATTAGCTGTGCGATTCGTGTATTCCAGCTTGACTTACACACCATGCTGGTTAGCGACCCTTGTAAGTATACATCAAGTTTACAAACTCGTGCCTTAAATGAAAATTTAACCATTTCTTGTCTCGATATTACGGAAGAAAATCCTATACATTACGAGTCCAGGGAAGCTTCTTTTTCGGTATTTTCCAGTTATCAACAAAACAAAACTTTGCACACCGACTCACTTCATTAGGCAAGCAACCGAGGAGATTTATTAATTCCTCCGTTGTGTAGGTAATCAAATTATTTCGAGTAACATTTGGGATAGATCAGAGATTTTTCAAAGGCTCAACAAGCCTTTAAGAACTACCCGTCGGGCGGGTGCAAGTTCTAGTCTTTGAAACATTTACGAGTTCTGATTTATCCAAAATTTTACGGGAGCAAATCATGTGATTACTTGTTAATAATAGACAAATTATCTTTGTCTCTCTTTGTCGTGTTTATTTCGTGTTATGGCTCACTGGTTCGGCCGCTACCCTGCAAGAACTTGTCTTAAATTTTTAAACAGGCTGTCGCGAATAATCAAGCTTCGCACTATTTCTCAGTAAATTAACGTGTTCTCCGCCAATGTCAGTTCAGCAATCGGAAACATGCATGAAATCTATCTGTTTGACAAAATAAAAATGTCTTATCGATTTCCAAGATGTTTGTTCAATCAGGGCGCGCGCCTGCAATGTTTTTTTGTGACCAGCACGAACAATATAGCATTTCCAATGACATTTCTTTTCATACCTTTCTATTTTTTATTTTAGGTGTTTAACGCTGGTTTGATGGGCTTGGTTCTAAGCAGCATGCATAGACCTTCCTTGACTCTGGTAAGAAACGTAAACTAGTGTAATTGTGCTTCATGAGGCATTCATTCATTCTCCACCACGTTGAATGTAAATGTTAAATTATTTACGGTAGATAGACCAGATACATTTATCTTGATACCATGATCAACTTGCGCTGCAAAATAGCTACAAAATACATTTTAGAGGAATTAGCAACTTTTTGTGACGCCTTTTTAATTTTATATGATTTTTCTTTCCCTTGGCTCTTTGCAGATGAATTTCTTGCAGTCTGTGAGCGTAACCTGTGCTACAATATCAGCGATAACCGTGTACCACTACATGTTCGCTTGGTCCAAATTGATAGCTTTGAATTCGGAAGGTTACTTTCTCAGCAATACAAATCGCTATTTCCTGGGTAAAGACGAGGATACAAAATTCACTGAAAAGCAAAAATCCATGGTGGCTGTTTCTTTCCTGATCATCATATGTTCCATCATTGAGATCATTCTCGCGATAGCAGCCATCAGGAGCAGTAATATAGATGTTCAGGGCCCGCAGGAATCTCAAGTAAGCGAAGTAAAGGATTGACCTATTGTTCATTTTTACAGGCTCAAATTTCGTTGCAATCGATTTGAAATCAGTTTGATGGTCAGTCAGTCGATCATTCGGTCAGTCGGTCAATCAGTTTGGCAGTCAGTCAGTCAGTCAGTCAGTTATCAATCAGTCAGTCGGCAGTCAGTCGGGTGGTCAGTTGATGAGTTGGTCAGTCAGTCAATTGGTCAGTCAGTCAGTCAGTCGGTCAGCCAGGTAGGTGGTCAGTCAGTCAGCCAGTCAGTCAGCAAGTCAGTCAGTCAGTCAGGTAGCCAGTCAGTCAGTTAGCTAGTAGGTTGATCAGTCGGTCAGCCGAGCAGTCAACAGGTGAGCCATTCAGTTATTCAGTCAGTCAGTCAGTCGGTCAGTCGGTCAGTCGGTCAGTCAGTCAGTTAGTCAGTAAGTCAGTTAGTCAGTGAGTCAGTTAGTCAGTGAGTCAGTCAGTCGGTTAGTCAGTCTGTCAGTCAGTCAATTGGTAAGTCAGTCAGTAAGTCAGTCAGTTAGTCAGACAGTCAGTCAGTCGGTCAGTCAGTCGGTCAGTCAGTTAGTCATCATGTCTTTATTCATTTTCAGGTAGGCGCTCGATATGGCCAACTTGAAGCTGGTCAGGTCCGGGTCCATATGCCAGGGCAGTCGAATCCAACTGCACTCCAACCAGAAGTGGCTACTCCAGAATCAGGCGAACCCCGACGTGCACCGTGACTCAATAAATACCGTGAACGTTCCAATTAGCCCCAGAGAGGGAGAGAGGGGGAGGAGATAATCAAATTCCAAATTTGTAGATGTCTTAATAACTAGTTTGACCCTCAAATTGACATAAAATTTTTTTGTAGTACGAGAATTAATAAAAAAGCATACAAATCATACCCGTTTTAGTTTAACATTATCTTTACTAAAGCCTCAGGGAGTGTTGGTAATTTTAAAATATCTAAGCATTTACATGTCTAAACATGATCTCGTTCTCAAAGCCATCGTTGGCCCAGATAAGCGAGGAGAAACCGGCGATCATTGCGACAAGTCTGAGAAGGTGATATTGTGCATGTTTCACTGATTCAGTTTTTAGCTTAAACGTCACGGAAATATATTCAACTAGACATGGCGTTCAGCTCGACAAGAATTGAAAATCATTTCGATTATTCAGCTGGTAATGGCTGCTATCCTTTTTGCACTCAGCATTGTGGACCATTTTGAAGTACGCTACATATAGCAGCTCTTGTAAATGCACAAAACATCGAACTACGGGTGTTTTATTGCCTACGCTCATGCTTTTGACAGTTAAAATTTGAGAAATTCGAAGTTCACGGGGAAGATGTAAACTCCTTTTTTCTGGTGCTTCTCTTCGTTTCAATAATCCGACCACTCCGACTAAATTTCACAGCTGCCTTTCATCGGGGAAAGTAGTTTGAGAATGGCGCTCAATATTTAGCTTAAGAGCTAGCGATAAGTGCTACAAGGTATGGTGTTCATAAACCGAATACAAATATTATTACAGCTGCGAAACTAAGATAGGGAAGCGAAATCCGTTATTCTAAGAACGGTGGTTGAGACATATGAAAAGTCAAAATCGAGACTGCAGAACGAAGCTTGAATTGTTATATACTGCTGTAGAGGAATTAATTTAATAAGCTGATAGGTCGTGATGCCGCACAAAATTAATCGACTGTTCCAAGAACTGCACCACAAATGGGCCAATTTTTTTTTAAGAATGTGACTTCTACCAAACTATAAAAAACCTTGCTAAACGTACAGAACATCTTTCCACTTGTTTTCAAACTTCTTATGATCAATTTCCGCTCCTGTCGGCCCATTTGGTTTTTGACCTGACATTGCTTGACTGTATAAAGTACGGCAGTAGTCTTAAACAAGACATTTAATTCATTCGCACCAGGAGTAATACTAAGATGAAGTTCGATAATTAGTTCAGGTACTCAAACGACTCCGAGTGCAATTAGGAACACAGTAAATAAACACGAGTAGCTAAACATACCATAGAGTTACCTTTTGTACACAGAATTATCTCTCTCTGGTTTTGTGTTACCTATAAACTGCACTTTTATGAGTCTCTGACTGAATTTTGTAGGTATCGTATTTGATATGAGATGTGATGAAAACATTTATCGAATACATAAACTATTAAAGGGGAGGGGAATTAACTAGTTTTTCACAACAAGAGCACGCCGTTTGAAATCAAGTCGTCTTCCTGCCGTATCACACGGAAAAGCTTATTATACTGTAAACACTGCGCCGAATCCAAGTTATAGGTTATTATGTTCGATAGAAGAGCGGCATTTGGATCAGTTTAGGTTGGGCTTTGTTGCCACAATCCAAGAGGAGGCCGCTCTGTATTTACGATGTGTCGAACCATGCATAATTTATTACAATGTTTTTCGATGCAACGTTTATGATTTCCGTATAATTGAGTGGTGAGAACAGCCATGGGGAACTTTATTTACCCAACGTTAAACCTAAGCAATTACAATATTATGAATGTTAATATAGATACCAACACTAATTTCTACCAATACTCTGAGTATTCTCAGATTATAAGAAGTAAGGTCGTTTCTCTCGATGAAAATTGGATCGTAAATATTCTTGGGTATAATTGTGTAACGTTATATATATCAAAATAGATTTACTGATCATACGTTGATGGTTCATGTTTCTCCATTCGATACCATTTCACTTCATTTCAGGAGGCCTGATATAGAGGACGAAAAACACGGCAACAATATTCCCTCGGGTTTTAAAACTCGTCCGAAACTATACTAACGAGCTTGTAACGGTTTTGCAAACAAAGCTCTTTTTTCAGGCATTGCACTTGATTTCCAAAACCTAAATTTTGCTTCTTATTTGGATAGGTATTGCCAACGGGCATTATGGGATTTATTCTGGCAATCAGGTCAAGACGCTCCCCGATTCTGGTGAGAATGATTACGAACGTATATTATTTATGCAAAGAAAACATAACATAAAAAGTGATCTTCGTAGTGACGAATACCACTTGAGCGGTAGTGAAAATAAGGCCTGTTAAAAATTCAGGCTTGTACAGAATTTGAGCCCATGACCTCTGCGATACCGGTGCATCGCTCTACCAACTGAGCTAACAAGGCAACTTGAAACTGGTTATTATATTGGTTCCAAATAAACCCGTGAAGTGGTGAAAAAACGGCTGTGAATATATGAAAGTCATATATTTGAACTGCGGATAAAGACGTCAATATGAAAGTGATCTTCGCAGTTAACGCAGCAATGATCGTGGGCCATGCTTTCTTGTAGGGTTTTTCTGTAACGTTAAAGAAATTTGACGCCAACGGCTCCCATAAGTTACCATAGGTTAGGTAATTAGATTGCATAGACTTAAGTCACACTAGCTAAAGGTTTCTATTAAGTGTCTACAATCAGTGCGTATGACACCTGTCAATCAAATAAAGCCGGAAAGCCAACATTTTACAGAAATTGCTTTTCTTCCACATTAAATTGAAGACATTTGAATAAACCTAAAATGAATCTACTGCTTCGTTTGTCTCTCTTCTTAATCCTACTTCAATGTCTCCTTCCACTTTAACAATTATTACTAATTTACAATTTTACGACGATCAGTCGAATTGTGCTCTATCATTTCTGTGTTCTTATCGATTAATCGATGTCCTTCAGGGACTTGCGAGCTGGAATAAAAAAATAAGTACCTTCTCAAAGTGACAATATTGAAATCAACTCCGATATTAATAGTTTACATTTTATATATATTGATCGAGCGGTTGAATGTTCTTCTAAGTTTTTTTTTTTAGGTCATACCCATTGGCATCATGGGATTGGTTTTAGCCGTGAACGGGTCCAGACCCTCTTCTGATTTGGTGAGAATTAAAATAGCATAATACTTTTAACAGTATAACACTCCTTTTGTTTTTGTTTGTTTTTTATCATTCTTTGCTTCTTCTTGATATTTTTCCGCTGAACGTGCCCTTTAAAGAATATTATGGCGTTTGACCGAGAACTTTGTACCTCTAAAATCTTAACGTTTAAAACATGAGTGATTTTACGCCATGAAAACTTAGCTTCCCGTGCCATTCATTGTTGCAGATGAGCGGCCTGAGGTCAGTGAGCATTGCATGTGCCGCTCTATCAGTACTAACCATCATTACCTATGCGATGGCACTCAATAGCATATTGATCATCAAATATTTCGAGGCACAAACTAGTAAAGAAGACCAGAAACCTCCATGGTTTGCTGAAAAAGACGTAGAAATCGAGTTCCGGAAAGAGGAAAAAACAATGATAGCTGTACATGTCTTGATTATCATGTGTTCCATCCTCGAAATTATACTTGCCATGGCAAGTGTTCGGACCGCCAAGGCCATGGCTAAGGAGCCACAAGACACCTAGGTTGGTGTAGTTATTCTATATGCAGTTAATAAATTAGATATGACAATGATAAAAGAACTTATGATCCGAAAGCACTACATCCCAAACTTCAGTAATGCATCCTGTTCTTTGTCAGCATTTATTTTAGAAGGAGAAAATAAGTGAACATTACGTACTCCTGATGTAAACGATGTCATCTTTGAAAAGATCATTCAAGTACTAGCGTAATGTCTTTGTTTAGGAAACGCGAAATTTTTCAATTCAGAATTGCATTACTTTGAGAGGATTTTAGAGATCAGACATTGTTTTTCACCTAAGAGGACTTTGGCGACCCGAGGGTTTTTTTTTTTTGGTTTACAATAAAATCTACCTCATTCCCCCCCCCCCAAGGCTCTTGAGTATTTTTATGATCCTCCCTTCCCTTATTCGCGGTCAATTGTCTACAGTCTACCCCCCCTTTATACTCGGTTAACGACGACTGGTTCACCCTCCATTCACCCTGAAAATCATGTGACCCCCTGAAAAACCTCCGACTACCCCCAGCGATGAAAAATGACGTTGATTGTCACCTAAGGAGACTTGGGGGATCATAGGGTTTTGTTTGTTTTACAATAACAGCTACCTCATACCCCTTTAAGGCTCTGGACTATTTTTATGATTTCCCCCTTCCCCACCTCTCCATTGGAGGTGGAGGTCAATTTTTTTACAGTCCCCCTTTATGCGCTATTAGCGATGACTGTTCCCCTCCGTCCTCCGTTTCCCCTCAAAACCAAGTAACCCCTCCGATAAACCTCCCATCCCTACCCCCCCCCCCCACCTTAACGTGATGAATAATGACTACTACCAGAAGTAAAATATTTTTCATTATATCTAATCAGCAGGCAAGCGTTGCCTATCATCTGGTTGCAGAGGAAGATCTCCCTTTGTTATTCTCGAGTTCAGATCAAGAGGCAGCTTAGATGGTATCATCTCCACACACGGCAGAGGGCGACCTGATGTAATTTATCGCTTTTTTAACGCCACGATAGCAAATTAATCGTTGTATGGCGTACCTGTAAACTAGTTTTTTAGCTAAGCATACCGACCACGTTAAATACATTGATTGATTGCTTGAAGTAATTTATGTCATTTCGTGGCCGAGATTTTTGCTAGACATCTAATTAACAAGTAACTTCCACGAATGTAGAAATACTGTTGTTGTGTCGTCTAGACTCAGTCAAGTTACTTCTTTCCTTGCTATTGCTCAACTGAATTTTATTAAAGAATCAACAAGCTATATTCACAATACAGTACTAGGAATCAGTAATACTACTTTTACATAGGAATGTACTTTTACAATCATGTACCGATCGTGTCTTACAGGATATAGCGTGACTATAGTAACGCTTAGGTAACGCAATACACTACAACTGTCATCAACTTCCGACTTCTTTGCGGCTTCACTACATGAAGTGTTGCTGTTTATTTGCTTGTACATATTATTATCTTGAGGGATTAAATCTGAACAGAACTAACTTACTTTTGTTTTTGTTTGTCGTTAATTTTCGGGATCCCATATTCGGTATCCAATTTTCGCCTGGTCCAACATGGCAAACGTCCAATTCTGCCATGCGTGCGTTCAAACGAACAGTTTATGTCGCGTCTCATTTAGCTCTCTGAGTAATTCGGTTGGGTTGAGTAGCCGAACTAGCCTCCAAAAGCTTCCTTAGAGAACGAATACGACTTACTCAGAGTGCTAAAGAAGACGCGAAAAAAGAGACTGAGTTTATTACGAGAAGCATAACAGCCACTCTTTCGGCAGATAAGGCCATTGAAATACTTGAAAAGATCAGAGTTAATACCCAAAGAATATTTAACACCACTAAAGATTGACAACAACGCAAGTTTCTGAAACTTGCCCGAGCGAAACAAGCTTCCGCTGTTTCTTATATTGACCAAACACCTCAAGTCGATAAAAACAAATGGGTGATTAATTTATCTTCACGCCCTCTCAGCGATACTGAGGTATCGTTGCTAAAGAAAGGCTTGAATTTCGCACTAATTCCATCTAACATCCCAGTCACGGAAATAGTCGCCAAAGTCGAGTCCACAATGAGAACGCTTGACTAAGAGCAAGCAGACACTGTAAGACGAACTGTAAACGTTATCCTTCAACAGGCCAAACCACCCAAGCCTAACATCACGAAAGATAAGCAAGAAGCCCTTAAAAATCTAAAACAAGACGACACTATCACTGTTCTGCCAGCGGACAAAGGCCGCTACGCCAAGCTAATACTGTAAGATTTCAATCTATCGGATATATTATCAAAAATTGCATCCAACGTTTTTTATTCTGGAATGAATTACTTTTCACTTGTCATATTGCTTTTTGTCAAACAATTAAAGACGACTTACTTGCTCCGAGAACGTTTACTCGGGCTTCGTATCGCAATATCAAATCGTACTTTTCAAGTATTGAACAAAGTAAAAACAAATTAAGGAATCAGGATATTTAACACAAGAGTTAAGCCCACATATTTATTATTTAAGTATTCAATCCTCTTAATCCAGTAGCTTATTGTTGCCTCACCTTCGAAGTTCTTTCCGCGAAGATTTTTTATTTTTTTCAATTCAACATCTGAGATGTTCGTCTGGGCAACATAGACATCATAGTTTGTTGTTTAATAAGTCAGTAGTCGTAGTTTTGGCACTGTTTTCGTAGTTTGAACTCATATATGGCTCATTAGTTATCTCGCGAGAACTAGTATGAACTTTGCTAATTTGGCTATCTTTCAACTTGCGGCCACTCGTGGCTTCAGGAGTCTTGCGTACGAATTGATTGAATTGACGTCAACTCCACCTTTACGATGCTTTGATACAAGGGCAAAAGTTAAGTCAAAGCTTTGCCCAGTTCCCTCCTGTACGGCACTGTCTTTATGTCAGTAAAGGATATAACGTGGCTTTTGAATTTGTTTTTATCTTTATGGCGACCTTGGAAGAATTTGTATACCGCTAACTGGTACACAAAATGTTTCCTTGTGTACTGGCTCACTGCTTGCTTTACCATCTCCTCGGACGGCATAAACTTACCCTTTCAGTTACCCTTTCAGCTGTTTGGGTCGTTTGGGTCGACGTTCTTTTGGATCCTTCATTCGATAGATTTGGATACTTTCTAGTCTTTCTGGATACGATGTGACGCACCATCACGACCTGGCGGTCGACAAAAATAACACTGAAGGTCACTGTCCTGGTGCAAATGTTAACTATATCAACTTATGCCTATTGTGTCACGATTGTTTGGACCTACCACGCAGATCAAAGTCATCAAAGGTCAGTCAAAGGTCAGCAAAGGACGGAAAAGACCAGAAAACAGTGTCACGGCTGCGACGGTTTATTAAATCTTGTTAAGACTCTATTTACTTTAAATGATTGGTATCCTTCTGCGTCAGAGAGCATTCACTTATCACGGAAATCCAATTAGTAAGTCTTGTAAATCACGTGTCAAGCGCTTGTAAAATAGCAAATCACGCATCATGTTGTAATGACCGTTCCCGCGTCACGCAGATAATTTGGGTTCAGTCACGTGTCACCCTGCAAATTTTGGGGCCATCACGTGTCATGAAAAAACGCTTTGCCATCCTCCTCACTGACAAGCTTCTCAGCTTGAAACGAAATGGAAATCTATCAGAAACTATCTACAAGAAGATCAAACCTAGGCACAAAGAGCCACCTGGGATCTACGGCTTACCTAAGATACACAAGCCCAACACACCGTTAAGACCAATTGCATTATGTATTAACACCTTTGCTTACGATTTTTCGGCATACCTAGCCAATATCCTGTCCCCCTTGACGGTAGTTACGATCAAAGTGCTCTGTTAGCAAACTCGTGAATTGACATATGATTTTTTGAATTATGTTTAAAGTTATCTGGTTTAGGGAATTTTGTGGTTGATTGTCATATCTAGAGTACGAGCAGTAGTTCAGTGTTCGCTAATGTAGCAAAGAAATAAAGTAACTTTGGGATAAGAAGGCATTACAATTGAAAAGATCATGCTATGACATTTGACAAGGTGGATGATGTCGTGTTTTAAACGTACATCATTTTTGTTTCTGGTTCAAAAGAAAAGGTTGGAAGTAAATGTGGGTGAAAAGGGAAATATACTGTCTATCATTGTAAATATTAGAAAATCAAGGCAATACTGTCTTAATGAAAACATTAACGATTCCTTCTTTATCAAATGAGACAAACGGGAACGAGTTTTGAGTGATATAACATAGCCAAGACTGCCACCGTCATTTTGGATCTCCGCCTAGGTAGATTTTAGTCACGTGCTAAGCAACGTGTAATCAATAACAAGATAGAATTTCATTTCAGGCCTATTTGTCAATTTTGTGGTGTATATCTTTCGCATTCTAGTACGTAATATGTATTTTGAATCTTAAAATTGTCTTGAAACTTAAAAGAAAATTGTGCTTTAAAAATTCACTGCAAATTGGTAGCTAAAATTGTTTGTTTAGGTGTTATTTGATTTTCGTGTTAACTTGTAATTTCGTCAGTCGCCGGCATCTTTCGTTGCTTCAGACAAGAAAAACACAGGATACGAAACGTAATGAATGATTTTGTCCTCAATCTCACGCCATAACAGAAAAAGCTTTTGAACATCTGTGAACTCCGAGCGCTTCGTAGTAAGTGATATTTTCAATAAATCTTCGAATTGTCTTCAAGTCCAAGGATTGTAAATTACAATTTTATGAAAAACGAGGGTTGTTCTGTTATTTAAGTGTGAATCCTTGCATGCCTGCCAGTCGCTGGCGCCGCTTGTTGAAACTAAAACGAAAAAAAAAACTCTTTTAAGATTATCATTGGCTTCTTTTTCACCCCACCACTATTTTTAGCAACAAAGGTCGCCATTTCGTTTGTTTACTGCTCGCCAAAAACTATCAAATGCACTCAAAAGACTAAAATGGAAAAGAAGTTTACAGGAATCGACCAATCGAGCGAGCGAGCGAGTGCCATTCCCCACATCGTATCTACAACTCACGAGTTAAAAACGAAGTCCCCGAAAACGAAGACCTAAGACCCCCCTACGAACCGAAAACGAAGTTCCATTACGAAAACGAAGACCCCCCACGAAAACGATGACCCATCACGAAAACGAAGACCCATCACGAAAACAAAGACATATTACTTAAACAAGTTCAAAAGAGGCTGGTATTATCTTTGTGGACAAAGATTATGTTCATGAGGCACACTACGAAAACGAAGATCCTAACGGAAATCTTTAATTCTGAATTTGGCACGTCTGTAATTTATATTATACGGAATATTTCAACAGTAGAGCCCCATGGAGCCTTCAATGGGACTGCTTTAAAGCTAAAACGAGATTTAGTAGGAGAGACATGACATGCATGTGGTGGTATATATAGGGGGTCTTCGTTTTCGTAGGGAGTCTTCGTTTTCGTAATGGGTCTTCGTTTTCGTAGGGGTCTTCGTTTTCGTAATGAGTCTTCGTATTCGTAGGGGGGTCTTCGTTTTCGTAACTACCCCACCTTGCCAGGCAAGTCAGACTACTCAGGTATTAATTCTACGCACTCCGTGTCAACCATCAGTCACGAGAAAGTATATGATAACGAGGTCATGGTATCTTTTGACATAGACTCGGTCCATATCATGTGTCGACGGTCGAGCCATGAGCGAAGGTCGGAAATCGAGCAGGCTTTCGAGGTGGTTAGAGGCGGGCAATCGCACTGATTTTTGGCTTGGTTTTTACACGTTTATCGACTTTTAACGTGCTCGAAGCCGGCCCAGACGATCCTGGAGGTTGCACACCTTGTGTTTTTCCTTTGCCTTTGGAGGGGCACAAGTGCAAAGTGGGGAATAACCGTCCCTAAACCCCACAAAGTCACCCAAGACAACACAGGAAAACGAAAGTAACTGAACTTTATTTATATAACTGTCATTAAGCGGATTTTGGGGATGAAATGTTACTAGTTGTGGTATTTATGAAACATTTCTCGGGATCACTTGCGTCTTGCCGAGATCGACCGTTGCAAATTACAAAAAATGTAAGACAACTAGCATATCACATAACTGACGTCACGCGGCCTCAAACCCACAGAATGTCTGTGAGGTCATACGGAGCACGCAAATTCGTAGGGCTATTGACGTCATCAGGCGTATAAATTGTAGTCCGCCTCACGACCTTCTCTATTGTTCCTTTGAGTTTGCCAAGGAATCTTGCGAAATGGCCTCCAACAAACGAGACCTTATAATTATCTCGATCGCTCAGCTTGTAATTGCAGGTATCCTCTTCGTTCTCGGAATGGTAGACCATTTTGAAGTTCGCTTCATGTATGCCAGTCTCATATTGATGCCAATTTGGATTGCCCTTCTTGTAAGTACTGTACATTACATTTTCTCAAAAGAGTGCAAATACAAAGTACTGTCTAAATTTACATTTTCTAGCAGAGGGTTTAGATCAAGAAAACATGCAAAGATATTCAATCTTGCAGTTTGAAATAAGTATCTGGTCGTTACGGTGTTCTAATTTCGTTATTTTGGACAGGATTTTCTTCGAAGCTTAAAGTAAAATCCTGTTCAAATCCCCCATACTGCAGATGTCGGGTGAACTGTATTACGTAGAATCACATTTCACTGGATAGTCTGAAACCATCAGGATTCATAGCCTTCCACCTGAAAATATCTTGTCTGTAATTCTTTCGATAAGAATACAACTGCATCCTCAAACTGAGTCAGAATATGATGACATTGGAAACGTAGAATACAAAGTTCGCTCTTCAAAAGCGAATCGGTCGTCTGTGACCTGGGAACATTCAACTGTTGTTGTTTTTATTTGTTGAGCGATCGAATAAGTTCGAAAATTGAGAAATATAACGCAGTACTTCGATAACACAGTCTGCATCATTCTAAAGTTATTTTAGGACATCTCTCAGTTTTGCCGCACAGTCAACAAAATAAACAATGCGCAAGATGTTTTACACAAGAGTCGATCAGAAATGCAAATGATTACATTGCCAGACGAACCTCGAATTTCTCTTTTAAGAACGACGTAAGTTTGTATTTTTAGACAGAAGTTTTCGAAAAAAAATCTGTCGATGAGAGTATTTTTGGATTCAATGTGAGGCATTTTCTGAAACGTTAAAGGCCTTGAAAGGTTTTGAACCACCACTTTTGTTTAAATAGCGCCTCTGATTGGTCAGTTATTTTTACCTCGTCACGCTGTCTCAAAATAGCTTCTCTGTATTCTCTGATTAGTTTGGTGAGCTTGTCAAATTCTGTTTGGTATATGGAACCAGATGAATCCATTGATTTAGTAGACTCCGAGGCAGGAAACGCTTATGGATCGGTTTTTGACAAAGAGGAACACGAAAATCCTTGCAAGTATATTCCGAGGAAGGTGAAAATGTTGATCCACCACGTTTTCATTCATACATCAATTTTTTTTCGTTGAAATTTGCCATCCTTGTTAAATAGGACCAAGTGTCATTTGATCATGAAGTTTCCTGCCCGTGGAGAGGAGCTTACGCTCGAAAGAGTGGTCGAGGTTGTTGTCCATGCAAAGCAGCAAATAAAAATTGTAACGCAAACTGTCAGTGTCGCTGACGTTCCCGCAATGAAGTGACTAAACATCCGGTGGCCGGACACAGTCTTTGAATAATTAAACGTCCGGCAGTCCGATATTTTTCCATATTTCTCTTCGAATTCGAAATTATTTATACGAAAATGTTCTACCTTTATTTACAATCCTCAAGCGCTTCCAGGCAGCCAAAAATTTCGAAGTTGATGTTTTTCGCCAACCCTGTGTGTAGAGTCCAAAGCCATCCAAGTGCTTGACACTTAAAAAAGCTTTTCAATGACACGGCCAGACACGGTCCTCAAATAACTTCATATTTCTATATTTCTTTTCAAAACATACCAATTTTCCTTGTAAAATATTCTGCCTTCATTTAAAATCCTCAAACGCTTCTAGAAAGTGAAAAAATTCGAACGTTGTCCGTTTCGCCGACCCAGAACACAGAGTACGAAGAGATCCAAGCGTGACACTTACAAAATTTTCTTCGAACACTACCGGACACGGTCTTCGAATAACTAAGCCTCCGGCAGTCTGATATTTTTCCATATTTATCTTTGAAAAATACCAATTTGTATTAGAAATTATTTTATCTTTATTTAGAATCCTCAAGTGCTTCTAGAAAGTGAAAAAAAAAATTCGAACGTTGTCCTTTCACCGACCTCGCTGTACACAGGTACGTACAGATCTAAGCGTGACACTTAAAAAAAAATTTCGGATTTTACCAAACAAAATTCAAAATACTGTAAGGAAACTGTAAAATGACGAACGGCGAATGTATTTACCGTAAAACAGACGACTGTATGTCCAGGATGGCTCTCGAGAAAGATGATTTTAGAACGTTTTTAGCGGTCAGCATTAGATTCCATCCACCAAAACCACCTTGGTCGAGAGGGACTGGGATGGAATGATGGACAACTCATGACTTGTTATACTAAATGAAAATTACGAAGCTACGACAACATCCCGACTTATCCCGATGACCTAAGTGTATTATTTGTTTGGGAAATTGCGTCAAAACTTTTTACTCAAGAAATGGTAAGTATTAATGTATTGTTCGATTGTAGTATTATAAAACATTTTACGCAATTTTATGCAGATATTTCACGTATTTAGAAGGTGCTCAGATGTTACGTAGTTTTGGTGGATGTCATTAGGGAACATCCACCAAAACTTTGACCAAAACCATCAAAAATATATTTTTTAAATTTTATCTAAAGCCACTGTTAGATGTTCAGGGAGACAAAAGATTTATACCACTAATTAGCAGTTAGTGCTCTGGCTAATTATTTTTTATGGCGCACAATTGCTGACCGACCAAACGTTCATAATGATTATCATAACTCATAACACATAGAATAAAGTGGTTTTGGTGGATGTTTCTCTCCATCCACCAAAACCACCATAGCAATTTCTGCTACTTCCTTACAGAAGACTGATGCGACCTGCTATTTGGAGTACATAACCACAATCTATTTCTTTGTATGTAGAGATATTTTGCAAAGTTCTTGAGTCAGCGCCTTTTATTATTGAAACCGTAATCATAACATGGTGCACAATATAGAATACAAAAGGTTCTGGTGTGGCAATCATGTAATCTTGAAACAGGAGAGTTTTTAACTGACTTAAACTGACTTAAACAGACATTTGCATCAAAATTCCAGGTCCAGAAATTTCTCCCACTATTTCCGCTAAAATCATAACCTTTAAGTACAACAAATCAGCACATCAGTAATTGTTATCAGGGGTCTGAAAATCCTATAAATCTTTCACATTTATTTCAAGTAACCTTTAATTTCACATGGATGAATAAGTATACACTCAAGATGCAGAATGTCTTACATTTTACAAATTATTTCCCTTTTTATGGATAGACAGTGAAAGGCCTTTGCCACATTGGTGAATCAAACCATTGTATACCACGCATTTTGTGATAATTGTTTGTTTTTGCTCACAATATCCAGAAAAATGGAGGGGATAAATTTAAATAGCAAATTCTATTAATGGTTAAAATTAAATAACATTGGAAGATCAAATTAACTTTGTACTGTTTAAAATTCAGTTTTGGTTTCTAGCTTATTCCAGCCTCTTAATATTCAAAAGCATTCCTTGTCATTTTTTTGTTCTTCTGTGTAACATAACTTGAAAAATAAACACAGTGAAAGGAAACCACAAATGATTAAATTGAAGCTAAAGCAAAGTTTAAGTTGAGCCATAGCTGATCCAAATACTGAGTACTTTATATTGTAACCCATTTAGCAGTAAAGTTTATCTATATGTCTGCCAGCTTGTCACAAGTCTTACCCCTCTCCTTCAAAAGTCTCTATAATAAATTTTTCTTTGTGGTCCCTAATTGATGATAAGAATATTACAGCTCCTCAATTTCCCTCTCTCAAGACAAGGTTACTCTAAATTTAACAAAGTAATGAACTTGATAAAACTCAAACTATAACTCCGTCTGCTGGCTGCTACTTGCAACCTTAATTTCTTGATATCAGTATACAATAATCAATATGTTATAAATAAGAACCCTAATGCTTAATTTTGCAGTGATCACTTTCCTCCTTTTCATTTGCAGACCAGACTGGAACCTCTATAGGTGTGTTTGCTTGTTTTGAGTGGAGATGGAAGAAAAGGAGTCATGCTGCATGTCTGATTTATTAAACCGGATTTGTTCTGTTTATACATGGGTAGAACTACCTTGTTCTCTGAAAAAAATAAAATTTCTCACATTTTTATCTGTGCTTTGCAGTCAAACTTCCTTGTGTCTTGGACAAGAAATCTTATTTTCTTGAAAACAAAATCTTTGTTTCCGGCCTTCTGTAATAGGTAAATATAACAGTGTAAGATGAGTGACAGTGTATTTCTCAAGTTATTTTTTGGAATGTGACAAAACGGAAGTGTCATAGCGTGATAAGGAGCCAACATATGATTGCTTGATAGAAAGCAAAAAATGCAGAATTGCATATATTTTCTCCTTTGTCAGCAGCATATGTTAGTGAAAAGTTCTTATAATTGTTAACTTCTAAACCATCTTCAATTTAGCCAAGATTGAACTGTTATCACGTTTGTCATTAAAGTATTCAGAGATCAATGTCATATAACCCATTCATGTATTTTTAGCAAGCCATAGTTGACAGTAACACAAAGGTTGAGGATAAAAAGAAATTATTATATACAGTACTTCTTCTGCATCTTTTCGTTTCGTTTTCTCTCCAGCTGTTCTATCTATGCCGTGCTGGCAATTGAACACTTTCCTTCCCAATATTAGGAAAGGCACACCAGTAAAAAACGAATTTTTGCTCCTTAAATATCTCATGCTTCTTCCACGAGTATTTTGTGACTTCTGTCCAAGGAAGAAGGTGTAAGCATTAAGTTAACCCGAATGATTCCACAATTGTGGTATCATCCAAGCCATGCCAGAGGACTTGAACTAGATAAACTAGTGAGAATGCACAATAGCGATAGCAAAGCTTTGTAATGCCAAAGAGCTATATCAATATATATATATATATATATACACCGGTGTTTCAGAAACCTTTGACAGCTTTAAAGAAAGAAAACTTCGTCGTCAATCCTGTTTCAAATTCTGCAATAAGTTTATGCGCCTCATCAACAGAATTGATGTATCCTAAATTATCTGCATGTCTACCATCAATGGTTCGCGACTTAAAATTCTCGCTATGCTGTTTCTTTTTGTTCCTCAAGAATCATGGGATTTACAGCTTCGGATGTTCGGCTACATCACTTGCGGATTTCCGAGAATCTTCAGTTATGTTTTGCAAGTCATTAAATATTCCATCTCAGTCCCTCTCGACCGAGGTGGTTTTGGTGGATGGAATCTAATGCTGACCGTTTTTAGCAATCTGGGAATTTCGTGTTACAGGAAATTGGGTCGCGGTGCGCGTTGCATCAAGGGTGAAAATGGGCCTTTAAAGAAATTGGACACCAACGGCTCCCATACGTCAATTAGGTTGCGTGATATAAGTTCCTAAGTAGGTGAGGTAACCCGCCTAGCCGTGGTCGAAAAATAGAACGCGTTTACATGCAATCCTACAACCCCGGGGTGCTGAGGTGAGATTTCTTGAGGTTAATGTTGCGATTGCAATTAAGGAGTTTGAGCAGAGGCATCCCAAGCTCACATCTCGAAAAAAACGAAAGATTAATTCTCGGACACATATGTATTTATTCATGAAAGCGTCACGCGTTGTGTTACGCGGTGTTTGGTTTTGCGAGAAACCGTTGACTTAATACGTTATACGGAATAGTTTGGGAAACCAAATATGGTCGATTTACAACGCTAAATATTCCGAAGTGTAAACATTTTACACTCCTTGTGTGTCCGTTGCGGTTTCTGGTGATTTTTGCCATGAGACGGCTAGAAAATGTACAAATTCTTGAAACGTACATGTTTCGCTTTTGAGCTTTTTTGCCATGAACGCGACCCCGGCTAGGCAGGTTACCCCACCTTTAGACGTTTACATGGCAAATTGTCACCCCGGTTGACAGGGTTACCCTACCTGGCAGACCGGGTAACCCACCTGGGCGGGTTACCTCACCTACCTGGGGTTCCCCACCTCCATGTAAACATGCCCTTATTATAATAAGCAATCTGTGCGAAATAAATGAGTTATCACACAGGTGTTTTGAAGAACATCTATAGTGGATCTTATCATCTCTGTTTTTTCCTGCTTAAAGTTTTAAAACTATACCGGAAGCCTTAAAAGTTATCGTATTACACGCACTTTCCTATAACCCGCATCAACAACTGTTTGTGGAAAAATTAACAGAATACCCACAGGTGTAGGCCGGAAATTACGGTATTACTAATTTACAATTTCACGACGTTCAGTCGAAATGTGCTTTATCATTTCTTTGCTCTTGTCAATGAATTGATGTCCTTCAGGGACTTACCAGCTGAAATATAAAAGTAAGTACCTTCTCAAAAGTGACCATATTGAAATCATCTCCGATATTAATCGTATACATTCTATGACTATTAATCGAGCAATTTAATGTTTTTTTAGGTCATACCCATCGGCATCATGGGATTGGTTTTAGCCGTGAACAGATCCAGACCCTCCTCTGCTTTGGTGAGAATTAAAATACCACAATACTCTTAAATGTCGGTCCATGTAGTAAGTGACGTGTGTTTGACTGAATTTTGTTGTTGTTTTCTTTGCTTCTTCTTAAAAATGTTCCCACCGAGTGTGCCTTTTAAAGAATATTATGATATTTGACCGAGAACGTTGTACCTCTAAAATCTTAACATTTAAAACACAAGTGATTTTACGCCATGAAAACTTAGCTTCCCGTGCCATTCATTGTTGCAGATGAGCGGCCTGAGGTCAGTGAGCATTGCATGTGTCGCTGTATCAGTATTAACCATATATATCTCTGCGATTGCACTTAATACCATATTGATCATCAAATACTGGGTAGCACAAACTGGTAGTGACCAGAAATTTAGATGGTTCGTTGATAAAGACGCAGAAATCGAGTTCCAGAAAGAGGAAAAAACCATGATAGCTGTACATGTCTTGATTATCATGTGCTCCATCCTCGAAATTATACTTGCCATGGCAAGTGTCCAAACCGGCAAGGCCATGGCTAAGGAGCCACAGGACACTCAGGTTTGTGAAGTTACACCCTGTGCAGTTAATAAATTTGATATAACAACGACAAGAGAACATCTATCATCCGAAAGGACGACATCCCAAACTTCAGTAATGCATCCTGTTCTTTGTCAGCATTTATTTTAGAAGGAGAAAATAAGGGAACATTACGTACCCTTGATGTCATCTTTAGAAAGATCATTAAAATACTAGTGCAATTTATTTGTTTGCCAAATGCGAAATTTTTTCAATTCAGAATTGCATTACTTTGAGAGGATTTTAGTGATCAATCATTATTTGTCACCTGAGGGGACTTTGGGGACTGGAGGGTTTCTTATTTTTTATAATAATCTTCTTCTCACTCCCCCCTAAGGCTCTGGAGTATTTTTTTATGATCCCTACCTCCCCTTATTTGCCGTCAATAGTCTACTTCCCCTCCCTCCCTATATTCTCTGTTAACGACCTGTGATCCCTCTCTATTCCCTGAAAACCATGTGATCTCCAGAGGGTTTCGTAATTTTGTAATTTCTTTGTTTGGCAAATACAAAATTTTTCAATTCAGAACTGCATTACTTTAAGAGGATTTTAGGAATCAGTCATTGTATGTCACCTAAGGGGACTTTGGGGACTGGAGGGTTTTGTAAATTTTAAAATTAAATTTACCTCATTCCCCCCTAAAACTCTGAAGTATTTTTACGACCACCAAATTAAAGATCAATTTGTACAGTCCCCTTGAGTATAACTTAATTTTTAAATTATATTCTTGGGTCTTTTGTAATTGATTCTAGCCATAAAATGTATTATTTACCTGTTATTCCTTCTCCTTTTTAACTTACATGCATTTTAAATATTGTAGTTAGACATTGTAACCGAAAAGCCCAAGTTGGGAGTTACATGAAACAATAAACATGTATGTTCTACTTTATTAGCGACGACTGAACCCCCCCCCCCCTCCGTTTCCCCTCAAAACCAAGTAATCCCTCCGAAACTCTCCCACCCATACCCACCCCTTACCCCCCCCCCCAACACGTGATGAATAGTGACTATTACCTTATGTAAAATATTTTTCATCATATCTAATCAGCAGGCAAGCGTTGCCTATCGTCAAGTGGCAGTGGATGGTGTCCCTCTGTTGTTCTCGAGTTCAGATCAAGAGGCAGCTTAAATGGTATCAGTTCCATACACTGCTGTACAGAGGGCGACCAGATGTAATCCATTGCTTTTTTAACGCCATGATAGTAAATTAATTGTTAAAACCAAAAAACCGAGAATGTTATTAGAAGTAGTTTTAGTAGTATAATATAAGTAGTATTTGGATTTTTATATTTTTATATTAGTTAGTTTTTAATCTTAACTTATTTTAAATTTATACACCTTCAAAAGGCTTAAGTTTTTTTCTCCATTTTTGCTATTTTTTTCTTATTGCGTGGTGTACCTGTAAACTAGAGCATACCGACCACGTTAAATACATTGATTGATTGATTGATTGATTGATTAATTAAAATAATTTATGTCTTTTCGTGGCCGAAATGTTTGCTAGATATCTTAAGATCAAAATGTACCCGGAAGCTTGAAGAAAGCGTAAAATATAATTAACGAGCAACCTCCACGAATGTAGAAATGTTGTCATCAGATTTCGACTTTAACGCCCCACCCTCCTTCCCAATCCGCCTCCGTCGTTTCGGATCTTTCTCTTTCTCTTTCTCAATCTCTTATCACTACTCGTGTTGAATCTTGGGAAGATAATACCCTTTACACCCCCATCATCATCATACATATTCTCCATGCTGTTCTCTTTACATTTCCTATGGTACTAACAAAGAGAATTTCTTTTACAATAAAGATAATTTGAGATTATTTCCGTTATTCTCGTTGCCTAACTGTTTGATGCTGCGAGGAAAAATAGATAGAGAGACAAAGTAATAACTAGTTTGACCCTCAAATTGAGGGCTCAAAAAGTTGTCACATAGTGCAAGAGATAATATTTAAAAAAAGCCTTATAAATCTTACTCGATTTGGTTTAACATTTTCTTTCCCAAGCTCAAGGGAGTGTTTCTAAATGAATATTTGCTGATTCACTGTAGTTCGCTGTCGGTAATTCTAAAATATCTAAGCATTTAAATGACTAAACATGATCTCGTTCTCAAAGCCATCATTGTCCCAGACCTGCAATCGTTGCGACAAGTCTGGGATCGAGATATTGTGCATGTTTCACTAATCAGTTTTAGCTTATGATTAAACGTCACGGAAATGTATTACACTAAACATGGCGTTGAGTCGGCTAGAATTGAAAATCATTTCGATTATTCAGCTGGTAATGTCAATTTTCCTTTATGCACTCGGCATCGTGGATCATTTTAAAGTACGTTACACATACCTCAGTCATTTGTTGATGCCATGCTGGATAGCAGCTCTGGTAACTACACTTGCCCAAGACATCGAACTACGGGTGTTTCATATGAATTTCTCATATCATAATAAGTTATGATATGAGAAATTCGAAGTTCATGGCGAAGATATAAAACTCTTTTTGCTGGTGCTTCTCTTCGTTTCAATAATCCGACTACTGCGACTTAATTTCACACAACCATCACAGCTACCTTTCATAAGGGAATGTAGGTTGATAATGGCGCTCAATATCAGAGAGCTAACGATTAGTGCTACAAGGTATGGTTTTCATAAAGCGAATACAAATATTTTTACGGCTGCGAAAGTAAGATAGGGAAGCGAAATCTGTTCTTCTAAGAAAAGTCAAAGTTGAGACTACAGAAGTAAGGTAGAATTGTTTATATTGCCGCAGAGGAATTAATTTTACAAGCGGATAGGTCGTGATACCGTACAAAATCGGTCGACTGTTCCAAGAATTGCACTACAAATGGGCCATTTTTTCGTATTTCTGTTTAGAAGGCCAAATTTTTTTGAGAATGGGACTTCTTCTAAACAATGGAAACCCTTGCTAGACTTAAAGAATACCTTTCCATTGTTTTCAAACGCCTTATGATCGACTTCCGCTCTCATGGTCGACCCAATTGGACTTTGATCTGATATCGTCTGACTATATAAAGCACGACAATAGTCTTAAACAAGATATTTAATTCATTCGCACCAAGACGAAATGTTAAGATGAGTTCAGTTCAGGCACTCAAACGATTCCGAGTTCAATTAGGAACACAGTAAATAAGCAAGAGTAGCTTAACATGCAGAGTTGCCATTTGTACACTGAATTATAATTCTTTGGTGTCTTGTGTTACCTGAAAACTGCATTTTTATGACTCTTTTTCAGGCATTTTACTTGATTTCAAAAACCTAAATTTTGCTTCTTACTTGGATAGGTATTGCCAACGGGCATTATGGGATTTATTCTGGCAATCATGTCCAGACGCTCCCCGATTCCGGTGAGAATGATTACGAACGTATATGTTATTAGATTATTTATGCGAAGAGAAAATAACATCTTACTTTATTCTGCGTGACATTTAAAACAGTCATTCACCAACGTGAAAGGAAATTTCCAGCACGTAAGGTTACTTTCCATCTTCAGAGGCCGAAAAAAACGTTTTTCCTTCCTTCCAATGAGAAAAAAGTTTTGAAATCTTTAAAGGCACCCGAGTTGTTTAGATAAATGTATTTTCAAATAAAAATTATTAAATCAGGAGGGTGTAATAATCTCGTACCTAAGCAAGTCCCCTGGGGAAATTTTCGCGGCAACCGCTCGTCTTGGGGCTCGTTTTTCAAGTTATTTGCATATTTTGTTTGCATCGCACACTTCACAGCAGAATGGTACTCTTTCTCTCTTATTTGGGCCTTTTTCTCTCTGTTTATTTTTTTTTCTTATTTTTTTTTATACTGGACTTTCTTCCGCTTTTGATTTTTCTGTGACCAAAGATTTTTCCATTAGCAAAGAGCATCCACATTTATATTTGAAGCTCAGAAAATGATTGCAGATAAATTGGCTCACTTCAATTAGTATTGCCTCTGTTGTGGTTTCTGCGGTGGTACTTGAAGCGTATTCGTGGGCTCTGAAATTTTTATTGGGTTTCAAGTACTACAAATACGATAATACAGAGGGTTTTCGCTACTTTTGGGCTAAAGACGCAAAAATCAAGTTTGAAGACCAGGAAAACACCATGATAGCCATACATGCCTTGATTGTCATATTTACCATCTGTGAGATCATTCTCGCCGTGGCAACTGCTCGGAGCGGTGAAACTGGGCGTCAGTCGCCGCAGGAAAATCAGGTATGTTGCACTACTCAGAAAAGAGTTATTAACCTTTTACACCTTAACATCAGAATACATTTTCTCCGTGACATTCTCTATGCATTTCCTATGATATTGACAAAGAGAATTTGTTAAACGATTAAGAGCCTCTTTAGTTGCTGATCATTTCCTTTATTCTCATGACCTCAATGTTTGTTTTAGGGATGATACTGATAGGAGAAAATAGTTATCAATCAGTCTTAAGGGTTAAAGGGTTAATCGAATAGGGTACTGAAGTCTAAAAGTAAGGGCTCTCACTTCATCTCCCCTTTATCATCCTTTGCTTTCGCACGACTTACTTCGACTACCTACGTCTCACCTTACCTCCCTTCTCCATTGCCTCTTTCTCTGTCTTTCCCCCCCTCCCCCACCTCACCTTCCACTCTTTCTCTCTTTATTCCTCCCTCTCTTTTTCTCTCTCCTGTTTCCTCTCCCTTCTCTCTCCTTCCTTTCCATCTCTCTCCAGTCCTCCCTCCCTTTTTTCCTCCTCCCATACCTCCTTCTTTACCTCCCTTCCTTCATTTCTACCTCTATTCTCTTCAACCTCTTCTTCTATCCCTCTTCCCTCCATTCCCTTTTTTTCTTACCAAACTTCTCCCTCCTTCTCTCTCCTCCGTTTCTTTCTTCCATCAATTCTTCTTCTCCTCCACCTTCTCTTTCAATCCTCCCTTCCTTCGTCTATATGTCCTTCTCTTTCTCCTTCTGTCTTTCCTCCTTCCCTTCATTTCCCTCCCTCTTCTTCCCTGTCTATCTTTCTGACCTTCCTTTCTTTTAAGCCTGTCCCGATCGTGCCCGTAAAATGCTAGAAGGTTGCTCTCTGAACGCCAAAAAGTAGCTAAAAAATTGACAAAAGCTCAAAAAGTTGCCACCTAATGTTTAAAAAGTGGCCACCTAAATTTCTTGGTATTTTTATACAAACGTTAATTGGAAGCTATATTTTTCGATCTGCGCAGTAATAAACTTGGTTTTAAAGAGCTGCTCGCGAAAAAAGGCGGCCTCTAACCATCCAATTCTGAACGGTGGTAACAACTGTTTGGATTTTTGGCACTTTTTCAGCAACGTTTTCGTTGTGTTGTCCAGCAAGCAACTTTCAAGCATTTTACAAGCACATCTTCCCTTCTTTCCCCTGATCCAATTTCTCTCCTGTTCTTTCTACTTCACCTTTTCCTTCTTCTTCTCTTTATGCAACTTGATGTTTCTATTCTCTGTTTTAGTCTAACTATCCGTATCATCATATCGAAAGTGGACAAGTACCGATCCAACTGCAGGCTTTTCCAACACAAGCTATGATGACCATTCCGATCTCTTGAGTCGACTATAGGAATGGTGGCCTCCAGCAGCGCATGTAGCCACTGAATGTTCGTTTGTTTGTTCAGTGGCGCTTTTTTTAAAAATATCATATTGAGCTGAAAAGCAATAGTATGAGTGTATAACCAACGATGAAGGTGCCATCTCGTGCCAACAACTTACGCAACGTGACTGTAACGTAACGCAAATGAATAGTATTCTAACAAGGCTTCAGAAGCCATTATGTAGTAGAAATACAGAAGTATATAACATATCATAGAGAGCCAAAAGAAAGGTCAGCAATAATAATTGCTTAGGGTTAGACCCACCCCTCAGCCCAGTTGTTTTTGTAGTTTTAACTTCAACCGAGGATTTGCTTTCTTTGATATATGAATGACACTTGCGGGTCAGGAAGAACTAACCTACAGACGGATTTAAGGTCAGCATAGCCTACCTCGTTTTATAACATAGCTAGCAGAGCCGTGCCATCAAATTCAGTATACGTAAGCGCGCTCAAAATCCTGATAGTGCACGCTGATAGCGTGAGCAAATCGCTTGGCCAGAATTTTTTTTTTCGCGCGAGCGGCCATTGTTAGCGCGGGGAAAAATAATATATTTCGCTACAATAATGGATACAAACGGAAACTCCGCCCACCAGTCCCAAAACGAAGCCAATTTTCCGACCTTTTTCCTTGGGCTAGAGTTCTTAAATGAGGCAGAAAAAGAGAAAAATAACGGAAAAGGAGTCTCGGCATCAGTGCCGTCACTAAATTTGGATCAAATTTTAGCCACTCTTGTTAACATTTACTGTCATACTGTTTTCAGTGTTTACTCAAACCGTTTTGCAACGATCTATTTTCGGTAATCGATGTACTTTTTGAAGCATTTTGACTTATTTTGACTCTTTGCTCAAATTTTGTGCGAACTGTACGTTTTCTCACAGAAACTGAAAATGTGGCGTGTTGTAAATTAACCAATAAAAACGCACGTTTTCTTCTCTGTAGTCAAGAGAATTTTGTATTTAATCAGGAAATAATTGTTAAATAAAAGTGCCATTCTTGAGCGTGATTTCTTTTTTAAAAATAAAGAATTATTTTTTTTAATGCAGTAAAATAAAACTTGAGCTTTCAAAAGAAAATTTGAAATAAAACCAATTCCTATTTGGTTAATATTTCGGCTTACCGCGAACAATCACTTCTGATATTGTTGTCCGTTTTTCGCGTCGGATTTGATGCACAATTCCACCGGCTATGTTATAAAACAATTGGTTAATGCTTTTAGCTGTGTATTATCGAGTTATGGAGCACGTGGGAAGTTTGGAGAGCACCCAAGAAGCTAGATCCTTGTGATTTCAAATCGAACTCGCGCTGCGCGCTTGTTCGATTTTGAAATCACGCGTATGATTTCAGCCCAAATTGCACTCTACTCTGTTCAATTACCATTATAAACACTCGAAGAGAAATTCCATATCTACGCGTGCCCATGTATTATTCTCTATTAAACTGTGGTATTTTACAAGGATTTCCAGCCCCAAGAAAAAACCGTAACAACACAGGTGAGAAATTGCGACGATTTTTTACGTGTGAGATATTTTTCAAAGGCTTACCAAGCCTTGAAAAACTGCCCGTCAGGCGGGTGCAAGTCGTAGTCTTTATGATTTACAAAATTTATTTGACTCTCTTTGTCGTGTTTATTTCGTGTTATGGTTCACTGGTTCGGTCGCTTGTCCCGCAAGAACCTCCTTCCGGCTTGTAAACATTGTGTCGCGAATAATCAAGCTTTGACACTCTTTTTCAGTTTGGTATCGCTTAATGGTAGAAACCAGCACACAAAGGCCATCACGCCCTGACTCTGAGCAGCATTCCAAGACCTTTCTTAACTCTGTAAAAAACGTAAACTAGTGTAATTGTGCTTCATGAGGCTTCCATTCATTCTCAACCACGTTGAATGTATATGTGCAATTATTCACGGTGGATAGACCAGATACATTTATCTTGAGACCATAATCAACTTGCGCTGTGAAATAGCTACAAAATGTTTTTTAGAGGAATTAGCAACTTCTTGTGATGCCTCACGATTTGTCTTTTTCTTGGCTCTTTGCAGATGAATTTCTCGCAGTCTGTGAGCGTATAGCCTGTGCTGCAATATCAGCGATAACCGTGTACCACTACATGTATAGTATTATTTGGTAAGTCAGTAAATCAGTCAGTCGTTCGGTCGGTCGTTCAATGCGTTGATCGACAATCATTAATATTTTTCAAAAATACTTCCTGAACCTTTGTTCCTTAACTGTCAGTGCATTCATAAACAATATCATCATACAATTTTTTAAGCTTTACAATTACTGATCATCTCGTAAACAGACAAGTAGGAAAACTTTGATTGCCCAATTGCCTTGACTGCACGGATGTATATAAACGATATATCACAAGATATTCATCAAATCTTGCTGAAGCACATTGGATCCCAAGACGTGTTTAGAGGGGAGGAGATATTCAAATTTGTAGACGTTTTAATAATAAGTTTGACCTTCAAATTCACCACTCAAAAAGCTGTCACGAGTAGTACGAGAAATAATAATAATAAAAAAGCCTTACTAACAAATCGTACTCGTTTCAGTTTAACATTTCCTTTCCCAAGCTCCAGGGAGTGTTTCTAAATGAATATTTGCTGATTCACTGTAGTTCGCTGTCCGGTAAATGACTAAACATGATCTCGTTCTCAAAGCCATCATTGGCCCAGACCGGCTGTCATTGCAACAAGTCTGGGAACGAGATAATGGGCATGTTTCATTAACTCAGTTTTGGCTAACAATTAAACGTGTCGGAAATATATTAAACTAGACATGGCGTTCAGTCGGCTAGAATTGAAAATCATTTCGATTATTCAGCTGGTAATGTCAGTTATCCTTTTTGCACTCGGCATCGTGGATCACTTTGAAGTACGTTACACATACCTCAGCCATTTGTTGATGCCATGCTGGATAGCAGCTCTTGTAAGTACACGTGCCCAGAACATCGAACTACGGGTGTTTTATTGCCTACGCTCATGCTTTTGACACAGTTTAAATACGAGAAATTCGAATTTCATGGCGAAGATGTAAAACTCCTTTTTGCTGGTGCTTCTTTTCGTTTCAATAATCCGACCACTGCGACTAAATTTCACACAACCCTCACAGCTGCCTTTCATTGGGGAATGCAGGTTGATAATGGCGCTCAATATTTAGCTTAAGAGCTAGCGATAAGTGCTACAAGGTATGGTGTTCATAAACCGAATACAAATATTATTACGGCGGCGAAAATTAGATAGGGAAGCGCAATCAGTTATTCTAGGAAAAATAAAAGTTGAGACTACAGAGGAAAGATAGAATTGTTTATATTGCCGTAGAGGAATTAATTTTATAAGCGGATAGGTCGTGATACCGTACAAAATTAGTTGACTGTTTTCAGAATTGCACTGCAAATGGGCCAATTTTTCGTATTTCTGTTTAGAAGGCCAATTTTTTTTTAAGAATGGGACTTATACTAAACGATGAAAACCTTTGCTAAACGTACAGAACACCTTTCTACTTGTTTTCAAACGCCTTATGATCGACTTCCGCTCTTGTCGACTCATTTGGACTTTGACCTGATATCGTCTGACTACATAAAGCACGGCATTAGTCTTAAACAAGACATTTAATTCATTCGCACCAAGACGAAATATTGAGATGAGTTCAGTATCAGCTCAGGCACTCAAACGATTCCGAGTGCAATTAGGAACACAGTAAATAAGCAAGAGTAGCTAAACATGCAGAGTTACCTATTGTACACCGAATTATCTCTCTCTGATTTTGTGTTACCTGAAAACTGCATTTTTCAGAGTCGATAACTGATTTTTGTCTGTATTGTATTTAATATGAAATATAATGAAAAAAATCATAGAATACATGAACTATTGGGGGAAGGGAAATTAATTATTTTTTCACAACAAGTGCACGCCGTTTGAAATCAAGTCGTCATACCGCCGTATCGCACGGCAAAGCTTATTATATTACAAACACTGCGCCGAGTCGAAGTTATCGGTTATTATGCCCGATAGGAGAGCGGAATTCGGATCAGTTTAGGTTGGGCTGTGTTGGCACAATCCAAGAGGACGCCGCACTGTATTTATGATGTGTCGAATCCCATGCATAATTTATTGCAATGTTTTTCGATACAACGCTTATGATTTCCTTATAACTGAGTGGTGAGAACAGCCGTGGGGAACTTTTTTTATCCAAATATAAACCTAACTAATTACAGTATTAGTATAGGTAATCAAATGATTTCAAGTGAAATTTAGAATAAAAAAGCACGAGTAAATTAAATTTTTTCAAAGACTAACAAAATTGTAATCTTTTTGTGGTGCAATTTGTGGTCTTTGAAAAATTTTGCTTATTTATTCCAAATTTTCACGAGAAAAATCATGTGTTACGTATTAATAATAGCGGAGCTCGAAGAGTGTAGCCCCATAATTATACAAAATAGTAGTAACCCATCAAGCCGAAAAAATTTGGATGTACGACCGTACGACCATACAAGGTGCTACTTTTAACATGCGTGGTCAACTGTACCGCGGGCACACCAACACCACGGCTTTGTTCAGTAGTCCAGTGGTCAGTGCACTGGGTTCCGAGTCGAACGACCCGGGTTCTAGACCTGACCGGGGCAAGGCGTTGTGCCCTTGAGACGTGCGGGAAAAAAATGCGAGCTCCGCTTTTAGGCTTGGTTAAATCTATATATTATACATGAAAAAATACGAGATAGCTTATCATAATTATGCAGAAGCAAAGCGCACGCATTAAATGCAAAAATGATTTATTCAAACCCTGCAAGTGACATTGTGCGTTCGGTCGAAACAACCGCGTACGATCAAAACAATAATATACTATGATATTTAACATCTTTCAGGCACAAAAAAGTTCAAAGTCCGGCTTAACAGTTCAAGGAATTGTTCAGTCTGGTTTGTTACTTCTTTACACTGATCATGAATTGACACTCTTCTGCAACGAATTACCTGAAAACTGCGTTTATCTTAACCAATCAGAACTGAGTAATTTTTTCATGTATCTTATTATGAATGTAAATATATATATACCAATATTAATTCTACTTAATACAATGTTGTATTTCTACCTATACTCTCAGTATTCTCAGATTGTAAGAAGGTCGTTTCTTTCGATGAAAATTGGATCGTAAATATTCTTGAGTATAACTGTGTAACGTTACATATGTCAAAATAGATTTACTGATCATGTTTTGATGATTCATGTTTCTCCATTCGATACCATTTCACTTCATTTCAGGAGGCCTGATATAGATGATGAAAAACACGGCAACAATATTCCCTCGGGTTTTGAAACTCGTCTGTAACTGTACAAACAAGCTTGTAACGGTTTTATACTGATAAAGCTCTTTTTTTTTCAGGCATTTTGCTTGATTTCCAAAACCTAACTTTTGCTTCTTACTTGGATAGGTATTGCCATCGGGCATCATGGGATTGATTCTGGCAGTCAGGGTCAGACGCTCCCCGATTCTGGTGAGAATGATTACAAACGCATATGTTATTAGATTATAATAATAATCATCTTTATTGAGGAAACTTTTTCATAAAAGATATGGTTTTCAAAAAGGACCTCAAAACTAGATATATATAGTAAAAACAAAGCTATAAAATTGCAAAGGGATTAAAACGATACAAAAAATGCACAAAAACTAAAAATAAGTATAAGTAAAAATTAAACGTAAGTAGCTATATTAAAAACTTAAAAACATTACGTTTAAAACTATTTACATTCCTTGAGTCTTTGATCGTCTGACTAAGGGAGTTAAAATCGGAAACGGCATGACATTGTGTTCTTTGCTTCCCCCAATTTCTTTTGACACGTGGTAATCTAAAATTGCCTTTGTTACATGTATTATGCCAATGAAGTACGTCTTGTCTAATCTAAGTCTATATCATGATTAATTAAACCATTGATGCATTTGTATAGTGTACACACCTTCTTTGAAATCGCCTTTTCTCTAGATGCAGCCACTTGAGAACGGCTAATGCCTCAGTGGAGAATGAGTACAATGGTCTATTTAAAATAACTTTAGCGGCCTTATTTTGCAAAACTTGCAAGCTAGACATAAGGGTAATAATATGTTTTTCGCCCCACACAAGATCAGCATATTCAAAAAGGGCATAACAAGACAAGAAAAGTAGACGCGCCCTGAAAGGCAATAAATGCTTTATACGCTTGAGAAGCCCAAGCCTCTGATTGGTTTTATTTCTTTGGGCCCTTTGACTATCAAAAGATGACCACCAGCCGAATTTCGGTTAAATTACCATGACGCCATAATGAGTGCATAATAACAAAGTTAAACGCGTCGGACACAAATAACTGTTTTGGTCAGTTATATCTTCACTGGCCGTTAAAATGACTAGAAACATATTAAAATGTCTATAACTACACTTGATTTTTATATACGGAGACAGGAGAAACAATTTTCGACTTTTGCTACACTTTGAGAATCACGCCATAATTCTGCATAATTCTACACACAACAGGTTAAACAGTTCAATTGCACTCAAAAGGTTAAATTTGGCACAAAGCCGTCAGTGTCCGTTTACTCCTCATCCGGTGAACATGGATTCGAGCATTTGCATCCCTTCTGCGCCTTCTGCACTCGCCAGTTTCGAATTTACTGAAAATCATCCAACATAAAGATAAGGAGGTTTCACAAGCAATGGTGAGCTCGAGTGACTAAAATCCGATATGTAGGACTCTGCTGTCACGCAACGCCTTCATGTAAATAATACACGCACCGCTTTTATAATCAGCAGATCAGTTATTCGTAAAACGTTCAGTGCTCAGTTAATTGAAAGAGCAGGTACACTCCTGGACTAATTGTGTGAGTCGTGCGATGAATGGCTTTTTCCTCTTCTGAGGTGAAATGTCAGAAATATCCAGCCCAAGGTCGATGCACATGTCTCTTAGCCTATCCACTCTTAAAGTTGTGAGTGTACGTTTTTGTACAAGTTCGCAGATGTTTAGATCGAAAGATACAATCGGATGTTGAATAGCCACATCTCCATCACATTTGCACACACTGCAGATAGATGACTCTCAGCTTCGGCGGAAATTTCGTCCTTGTCGACGCTCTCCTTGTCCACTTCTGAGATTTCACTAGCTTTTGCTCGGTTACCGGCGGCTGTAACTTCTAATCGCTTCTTTGCTGAAAGATGGCTGAAGAAGCCACTAATCTGCTGCGACGTAAGGACTTCATCAGGTTGAAATCGACGTCCTCCCGCTTGGTCTCTTGCTAGGCTCATGGTTTTCGAAACTTCTTGTGGATCGCTTTTCCGTCCACTATACTCTCCTTTTTGAAATTGGTCAGTTAAGAATTCGGTCTGTTTCCTTGTAAAACGCACCTTTTTCTTAATTGTCTTCAGGGTCCAACCCATTGGAAGAGGCGGCAAGCCGTCTCTCTTTGATTGTGCGGCAACTTGAACGCTTGGTATTCGACTGCGTCCCTCCATCAGCTTGGAAGAATATTCTCTTTTAGCTTTATCGTAGAGAGTTTCCTGTTCGAGCATCATTTGGTGTTTTCCAGTATCTAGGTGTGTCTGGAGGTTTGCAAAGCGACTGCAGGCTTTTACACATCCTTCTTCTGGAGACGGGAAAAGCATGTCATCTGGCTTATATTCCCCAATACAGCTTCGATCTTGGTTTTCGCTTTCAGTTAAGAAATTTGCTTTGACAGAGCTTTCCTTAATATGTCGGTGTCTCACAATCTTGAACGTCGGTGCGCCACTTGGACTCTGCGATGGCGAGTCTAGGATTTCCAATTTTTCAGGCTACTTCATGACTCCTTCGAACTTGACCCATCGCACTACTTTACCGGAACCCACATTGAATGCTCTCCACACTCGTGTGTCACTTTCATCGTACTCAAAATTGTTGAGTAAGCTTATGCCATCCCATTTGATATTAGAGGTGTTTGACGGTTTGGCAGCAACATAACTTGCTTTCTCTCCTGTGGTTTCTTGGCCAGATTCAATGGCTGTTTTGAACTGTAGAGCGTTGATGACATCATTGCCTTCGTTTACGTACCTTCCAACGTACCTTCCCTTGATTGTTGCCGCTTTGCGATCACATACCCCCTTTCCACCTTGAGGGTCCGAAAAGTCGTTTCTTACAAAAGCCACTCACATGGCATCACTGGCCAGCTTAGCTGAGATGATTGAATTTCCGCTGTGATAACAGCCAGCGTTATCTTATTTGTAATAAGCCATTTCCAGCTCTGGAATTTCCTTTTTCAGGGTAGTGAGGCAGTCAAGCATAATCGAAGCCACAGTCACACTGTCTTGGGCGCAGCTTTGAAATACGTGAACAGGTGTCTGCGATTCAAAGTGCTCAGAACCCTCTGACCGTCTTATGGCAACGCTAATGTGCCATGGCAATCCTCGCTTCGCAAACCAATCTGACTGCGCCTCTCGATATTTTCGGGGCATATATTTCATTGCCCAGTCCTGGACTAACAACACCGATCGGCTGTCGAGTTTGGCTAAAACTGAATGCTTCGCCTCAGCTTGGTGGACTGAACGTAGCTGATGGGCTTTCCAGCAAATGATATCATCCCTTGCCTGTTTGATGGTAAGTTGCATGTCAGCTTGATCTTCTGCTGACGAGAGCGCACTTGAACACTCATCTTCTATGGTACACAATACTTCCTGTAACTCATAACACTGCTCATATGACTATTTGTGGAGATGGTCGCAGGAGCCCCGAAATTCAGCATTGCTCGGATCACTTAGCGCGTAAATTCGACAATGATCGGGAACCTTTAAGGCCTCCACTGTATGTACCTAAAATAAAAAGTAAAATGACAAGCGCGTGATTCAATGTATATTTACAAAGCATTGCATGCGCATATGATCGACATTTCAAAAAGATTACTTAATCGATTCTCAGCGTTGTGTACATGTGTGTAAGCGTATTACAGTGAATTGTAAACTGTTGTTTCATAAATTAAGCATAAAGAAGACTTGGAGAGAAAGAAAGAGGTAGCCGTGAATCATAGTAAGAAGTTTACTGCATCACTCTGCGAAGGCAACGCATAATTATAAAATATGCACCCACCTTGTAGTCGCCCTTTAGGTACTGCTTCGAAAAACGAAGTTGCTGCTTAATTTCCCTCGCTCATTGCTGAGTCTTGCCACAGTCAACAAGCTTGTCTACGAGTTTTTCTATAGCATCAACTGCTTCCATTCCTGATGCTGAAAAGTTATCAAGTCCTTGCAGAGACTTGCGAACAGATGAAGAACACACGGCCCAAACTCTCTGCAGAGTTCTCTTACTCATAGGCTCAAAGTTGGTTTCACAGCAGTATTGTTGATACTATTGGACAATACGCTCTGGTATCATTGTTCTGATAACATTGAGTGTTTTTATGATCTCGCCAGTCGACAATTTTAGAAGTTTTTCCCCGAAAGGAACATCTTGAGTAACGTGTAGACTCGTTATGAAAGAAACAAAATGTTCTTATCTTACAGGTTCAATTCTCATTCTCCTTTTCTCCTGGTTTGGAAGAGGAGTAGCTCTTCCGTGTATCAGGCTTCGCGAAAATCCCGCTTCTTGCTAAGATAAGTTCAATCTCTGTCTCAGCACCTGAAAATTTTAAAAAACGCTTGTGGCTTCCTCTGCGCCACAAACGCCACCTACAATATCATGTAAAGATTAAGACATTCTTTTTCTGCTGGAGTTAAAGCAACCGTTGTCTTTATTCCCTTCACCGACGATTATTACGCTTTTGTTTTTTGTTTACTTTCGTTAACCCATCACATTTGTTTTCCGTGGGAAAATTGTACTGTTATTTTCGTTCCATAAGGTTTTCACTGTACGGTTTATATTTGTGAAATTTTGTAAAGTCTATTTCTTTGTTGTATCGTTCTCGTTCATGATGGCAATATATTTGTTTAGATCTTATATGTGAGGCAGAATGAATTGTTTGTTGATCTCGTTACCTGACAGATTATCATATGTCACGCAGAGTGACAGGAACCTGTGAAAAATTAAAATCCGGCAAATCGCTAGCGTTACCTGCCGTTTTGTACGGGACCCTTTTTGTGTGAGACGTCAATAAAACCAAAATTAAGATCAAAGTAGACTAAACGTAACTGGGTTGTGACACGCTGTAGAAAATGACAACAACAAGTAACTTTATTTTACTCATCCCGGCTCAGTGGCTTCAATGAGTTAGCCGGTCGGCCACCTTCACACCAAATTGCAAAGGACAGTATTTCGAAAATATCTTCCAAGCGGAATAACAAGGGCCTATAAAAGATTTACAATTTTAGCGAAGTTTGGTTGGTTGGTACATCAAAACAGCGGAAGATACCAGAAAAATGAAACGATGAATTTGAAGACCCACCTTATAAGCCCTCGTGATAGTATTGCTGGAGATTTTGAGAAACTACCACATGCATTTTTGCCACACTACATTAGGCCGGGTTTGGCATGAATTAAATATGGCGAACACGTCCACTGGTAATTAACCCGTGGTTTCGTCAGGAAGGACACGATACAAAAAATATCACTATATCTTGGTAATGGAAGGCCACATGTATATATTTATAGCTAGAGAAGTCCTGCTGTTGCATTTTAGTTCATGCAAGGACGGCCTGAAAACTGCATAATTTAGAGCTCGCAGGCACTCATTTTCGATCATGCAATTAGTATCGGTTTATTTCCGTTAAAATGAATATTTACAGAAACTAACCTCACTTCACTTTAAGTAGTACCTATAGCTACCTGTAGACAAAAAAATGGGACGAAATGATTTTTTTACCATGTCCGCGATTTTTTTATTTTTCTTTGATTTTTAGAGACATTCACTCTTAAGAGCTAAAATCCCGCAATTTATTTTTGGACGAATACGTCCGCTTTGAGAAAGTTTATAGGGGATTAGACTTGATCGATTTTCGTCAGATTTCGCCAAAACATTCCAGGAATAATGACAAACGAAAACTTGTCGGGAAATTTAGTTATTTGAAATATTTGTCCCTTGGTGTCCATTTACGCAAAACGCCTCGCGTATTTTTAGCTACTCCAACTTCAGTTGCCGATATCTAGACAACCAATCAAAATATTGGAAAAGCCGGACACACTTCTGTTGATTGATGCCTTGTGAATAAGACTGCGCAGCCATTTTGCTCGTGCTGCGGTATCCAAAACTCGATAAATTCAGAAGAAGAACCCTCAGTCGTTTCACGCCTTACCGGCTTCTAATACTTTCTAAAAGGAAAACTCGTTTAAATTATATTTTTATCATAAACTGCAGTTATTAATCTTTCTTCCGATATTTAGTTTGCTACGATTTTAGTGAAACTAGCGCACGCGCGAAATTTCTCCAGAAGGACACCCACGAAGGTAGAAGGTAACCTTCAACTAACATTGGCTAAAGTTGTATTTGAAGCTCAGAAAATGATTGCCTCCTCCTCTGATATCATAATTTCAGATAAATTGGCTCACTTCAATTAGTATTGCCTCTGTTGTGGTTTCTGCGGTGGTACTTGAAGCGTATTCGTGGGCTCTGAGAACTTTATTGGGTTTCAAATATGACAAATACGATGGTTCAAACTACAGCAATGCACCGAGTTTCCCCTACATTTGGGCTAAAGACGCAAAAATCAAGTTTGAAGACCAGGAAAACACCATGATAGCCATACATGCCTTGATTGTCATATTTACCATCTGTGAGATCATTCTCGCCGTGGCAACTGCTCGGAGCAGTGAAACTGGGCGTCAGTCGCCGCAGGAAAATCAGGTATGTTGCGCTACTCAGAGAAGAGTTATTAACCTTTTACACCTTAACATCAGAATACATTTTCTCCATAACATTCTCTATACATTTCCTATGATATTGACAAAGAGAATTTGTTAAACGATTAAGAGCCTCTTTAGTTGCTGATCATTTCCTTTATTCTCATGACCTCAATGTTTGTTTTAGGGATGATACTGATAGGAGAAAATAGTTACTAATCAGTCTTAAGGGTTAAAGTGTTAGTCGAATAGGGTACTGAAGTCTAAAAGTAAGGGCTCTCGCTTCATTTCCTCTTCATCATCCTTTGCTTTCGCTCGACGACTTACTTCCTACGTCTCACCTTACCTCCCTTCTCCATCCTCCATCCCTGTCGCCTCCCCCCCTCCCCCCCCCTCACCTTCCACTCTTTCTCTCTTTATTCCTCCCTCACTTTTTGTCTCTCCTGTTCCCTCTCCCTTCTCTCTCCCTCCTTTCTATCTCTCTCCAGTCCTCCCTCTCTTTTTCTCTCTCCTGTTCCCTCTCCCTTCTCTCTCCCTCCTTTCCATCTCTCTCCAGTCCTCCCTCTCCTTTTCTCTCCCCTGTTCCCTCTCCCTTCTCTCTCCTTCCTTTCCATCTCTCTCCAGTCCTCCCTCTCTTTTTCTCTCTCCTGTTCCCTCTCCCTTCTCTCTCCCTCCTTTCCATCTCTCTCCAGTCCTCCCTCTCTTTTTCTCTCTCCTGTTCCCTCTCCCTTCTCTCTCCTTCCTTTCCATCTCTCTCCAGTCCTCCCTCTCTTTTTCTCTCTCCTGTTCCCTCTCCCTTCTCTCTCCCTCCTTTCCATCTCTCTCCAGTCCTCCCTCTCTTTTTCTCTCTCCTGTTCCCTCTCCCTTCTCTCTCCC